GGGGCTGTTGAGGATTGACTAGTTGGGGAATTAACAGTTTCTTTTGTTAGCTGCTCTGGTGGTGATTGGACTCTGTTATATCCTGTTTCTGTTGACCTCGTTCTTATTGATAATCTTAGCTAAATTGTTTAATTCCTTTTGTGTTATATATCTTTGTGTTGAAATATAAATATTAAATTTACAACCTCTCTAACAATTTAAGTTTTTGGAGTAGATGGTTGTTTAACATGGTATCAGAACAAGAGATCTTGTATTCAAATCTCGTTGTCACCTTAATGATTGAAAGATTTTCACATTTTGGGTTCAAAATCTAGCCTACACATGAGGAGGCGTGTTGAAGTATAAATATTAAAGTTACACAATTTCTAATAGTTTAAGCTTTTGGAGTAAATATTTCAACACGCACCCTTTGGAGTAAATACTTTAACACGTCCCTTCATGTGAATGCTAGATTTTGGACCTAACCTGTGAATTTGTTTTCATAATTAGGGTGGTGGCAAGATTCGAATGCAGGACCTTCAGTTCTGATACTATGTTGAAGAACTATCTACTCCAGAAGATTGAGTTGTTAGAGAGGGTGTAACTTTAATATTTATACTTCAACACTTTGAAATGCTTGTGTCAAAGCTATTGTAGCACGGTGTTGAGTCTTGGCATGGCATTCAGTACGGAGCATGGGTTGGGGTATGATTGTAGTTGCTGTCAATCAAAAAGTTTAAATTGTTCATTTTAATTCACTTTAAAGTCATCCCAGACAAAAAGTTTCGAAGGTTTACCCAAGAAGTTTATAGAATTCAGGTATTGGGATATTTCTATTCTAGGGTTCATTAGCTAAAACCATTTACTAAATGAACATTGATACTTTTTTCAGTGGTTCAGTACTAAATTATATTTGATGGCCACTTCTCAGGGTCAATACAAGTCAACATTGGTTTGCCCAGTTTGCAACAAAATTTCAATAACATTTGACCCCTTCATGTACTTGTCGTTGCCGCTACCTTCGACCCTCACCCGGACAATGACTGCAACTGTGTTTTATGGTGATGGGATTGGCCTTCCAATGCCATACACTGTTACTGTCCTAAAACATGGTTGCTCTAGAGATCTTAGCCAGGCTTTGGGTATTGCATGCTGTTTAGGGAGTCATGAATGCCTGTTGCTTGCGGAGGTAATATTACATTTGTCCTTGTTCGGATTACCTAATTCTAACTTTTAGCTGCTTATACATTCTTATCTCCAGTTTTTCTAAAGCAGTGGATCTTTGGTCTCCAGGTTTATGAACATAAAATATTTAAATACTTGGATACTCCTTTGGAACCTCTGACTTCTATAAAAGATGACGATCATATTGTTGCTTACCGACTTCCCAGAAAAGGGGCTGAATTGACGAGACTAGAGATATGTCACCGATACCAGGAAAAGTGAGTATTACTTATTGAATTTATGGCCAATGGTTTCAGTTGGTAAAGATGCATAAAACTTGGAAGTTTTTGCTTTGTTGCCGGAAGCTATTGGTTTCTTTGACACCTTATGGAGTCCAATGAAAGTTGTATATACCCTTCAGATTTACGTTGACAATAGACATAATTGTTGTATGAAGTCTTGGGTGGGTTTCTGCGGGAATGCTGAATGCTTGTATCCATTATAGTCTTTTCTGAGCATTATCAATAGGCTGATGGCTTTAGCTTGACCATTATGATTAAATCTTCTTTCTTGGGGTTTTGTAAATTATTTTATATTTGCTACATTTTTTTTTTGAGCTGGGTTATGGGCAGGAATGTATTTTCTTGTGCTTGCTTGCATGTCTGCATCTACTATCTTTTCTGCTGGGTAGTTGAAAATATCTGGTTGCTGTATGGAACCCTTGCTTAGATCATTTTATTTTTGTATCTTTCCAAGATTTTTCACAATCAAGTTGCACTTGTTCTGCAGATGTATGACAGACAATTTTAAGGCCAGTGAGAGGAAGCTTTTCTTAACACCCCTAGTTACTTATTTGGAAGACCCACAAACGGGGGCTGGTATCGATCTTGCTGTTAGTAGAATACTTTCTCCATTGAGAAAGAAAGCATTTTTCACTTCACCAAGTATCAGTTGTGGCATGGAAAATGGTTCTGCTTCAGAAGCTGTTGAAGAATCAATGGACAGCTGTAGTACCCTGTTAGAACCTGAGAGCTACTCGAAGGACAATACAGAACAGCCAGAAATGTCCAGCAGGGACTTGTCATTTCAGCTTTGCATAGCAGATGACAAGTTTTTAAGCTGCAGACCAATTGCAAAGGATTTACCCATAAAACCTGGTCGACTAGTGAAGGTTATGCTTGACTGGACTGACAAAGAACACGAGTTATTTGATTCCAGCTACCTCAAAGATCTTCCTGAGGTTCACAAAACGGGGCTTACCGTGAAGAAAACCCGGCAGGAAGCTATCTCTTTGTTTTCATGCTTGGACACATTCTTACGGGAGGAACCCTTAGGGCCTGATGATATGTGGTAAAGTATTTGACACCATGATACAGTTGAAATTGGGGATGCACTTAAAATTTGGCAATAATAACTGCTTGTTATTTGTTGTTAAACTTTGTGGCAGGTATTGCCCTCGGTGCAAGGAACACAGACAAGCCACCAAGAAGTTAGACTTGTGGAGGTTACCAGAGACTCTCGTCTTTCACTTAAAACGGTTTTCATACAGCCGATGGCTAAAGAACAAACTCGATACCTTTGTTAATTTCCCCATTCACAATCTTGATTTGAGCAAATATGTTAAAAGTAAGGAAGCTTGCGCTGGATCTCATGTTTATGAGCTGTATGCCATTAGCAACCATTATGGTGGCCTAGGTGGTGGGCACTACTCTGCTTATGCTAAGGTAAATGACATTTTCTCCTCTAATTCTGTCTTGTCTCGTTGGAGATACTGCTTTGGTGACCTATTCCCATCTTGCTAGTCTATACGTGCTTCTTATTCGTTGCTAGGATGTTTCTTTGAATTGTGGTGACGCTAGAAAAGATCCTCCGTGTAGGTACATGTGCAATAGCTTATTGGGTTTGTCACCTGTCCGACAATTGGGAGTGTTATAAACAAGTCTAAGAACCATTTTCGTTTGTGTCGCAGTATCTGATATATTTACAGTGTTTTGGCATGCCTGGAGTGCATTATAGTTCTTTATGGGGTTTGCTCCGTGTATGAAAATTCAGGGGTTTTACTTCCTTTTTGCAGTTAATCGATGACAACAGATGGTATCATTTTGACGATGCCCATGTTTCGCCTGTTAGTGAAGCTGAGATCAAGACATCGGCTGCTTATGTGTTGTTCTACCGAAGAGTTAAAGTCCAACCAAATGCAGCAGTGGGAGAGCCGTCCCAAATTCATGGGACTTCTTGAAGGCTATGTCTGGGCATTTACATCACCATTCTGTATTTTATATGGCTCTCAAGGTTCCTTAACCCGGGGGATATATATATATATATATTTTTTTTTCCTGGCTGCAGAACATGCAAGGGAATGACAAGGGGTTTTTTTGTGTTGCTGGGCGAACACAGTGAGCTTTGGCATGAAGACTGAACAGAGGAAGAGTGCATGGGCATGGATGCGAATTAGTTCACAGTGGTCGTATCCATCAATGGGGAACCTGATAAAAGTGAAGGCTGTAGTAAAAGATGGCAAGAGGACTAGGACTTATTTTATTAAAAGAGTTGTTATTTTTTGAGAGAGAAGTATAAAATTTGGATGGTCTTGGGGTATCTAATCAATGAGAATCCCAACTATAGTAAGCAATCGGAAGGCTATTTTGCGTGTGTAGTGTAATAGTTTATCAATTTGTTGGAGACTACTTTTTTTAGGCTTCTTGTTTCACTCCCCTGACTGTGTAGCAGTCATTTAATGGATGAGACAAAGAAAACTTCCCTTTCTTTTGGTTCTGTCTGGCCCGTAGCTGTGGTCACAACCTTTGATTTGAGTGCAGCACAGCACNCTTCCCTTTCTTTTGGTTCTGTCTGGCCCGTAGCTGTGGTCACAACCTTTGATTTGGGTGCAGCACAGCACAGCATTGATGTACTAGGGGCGGAATAATTGAGAATGAAGGCACGTGTTTCTATCCGGCTTATTGATCTATCATTGTACTGTTCAGTTTTGTAGATTGTGTTGGAAAAACAATATCAAGTATTTGAGGGGAAAAGTTAAATATTTTTCTTTCCGAAGGTAAAAAAAAAAAATAGTTCAAGAAATTTTACTTGCCCAAAGAAGAACCGTTAAAGAAATTGAATGATAGCAAGCTTTTATGTTTGAGGGGGCCAGTTAAGATTTTTAGTCTCCTCCTGTATTTAAAACAAACAAAATGGGATTCAATAAATTGATCCGTAATATATCATCCGGATGCCTTACATTACATACAATACAAGAGTGAGTGACAGAGGATAATCCACCTGCGTCCCCCTCCTACCATCCCCACCTAAACAATCACAAATAGAAAAGTCAGTGCCATCTAAAAAGGGGTACAATATCCATCTTTGTCGTTTTTCTATCTCCCATCCCTCCCATCAAGCGAAGCAGAGGCACCCAAAAGATGATGATTCCAAAGAACAAAATCACTTGCAAACAAAGAGAAATAATTTGCTCATCTTTTTCTCATCTCCGAAACACGAACACCATACATCCATATTAGTCCGTCTCAATCGGGTGATTCTGCCATGAAAAGCTTGTTGAAAATTCTTTGATAAATTATGAATTCAATCAGATCTCAAACAACACTGTAATCCAAACCACCACTACCAGGCAGAGGAAGATTAGTACGCTATGCAAATCAACTTTTCCCTGAAATCACGACCAGCAACACGAGAAAGGATTAGAATTGTATTCTAGTACTAATCAAACCTCGTTGTCATACTTTTCATTGTATATACTACTGTTCAAAAAATGAAAAACAATTAATTTGGTAGTAAATCAAAAACTACATTACATGAAAAAAAATAAAATTGCAAAATACGGCACAGAATTACCGAACCAAACTCACCGTAGAAGATGAAATCGAGAGATAGCCAGCGGGAGAGCTGGCGGAGGGCGGCATACCTAAAACAGTGGTATTGGTAGCAGCTGAGCCAGTACTAGCACTACCGACGTGGTTAGCCAGTCCAAGCATANTCTAGTACTAATCAAACCTCGTTGTCATACTTTTCATTGTATATACTACTGTTCAAAAAATGAAAAACAATTAATTTGGTAGTAAATCAAAAACTACATTACATGAAAAAAAATAAAAAATTGCAAAATACGGCACAGAATTACCGAAGCAAACTCACCGTAGAAGATGAAATCGAGAGATAGCCAGCGGGAGAGCTGGCGGAGGGCAGCATACCTAAAACAGTGGTATTGGTAGCAGCTGAGCCAGTACTAGCACTACCGACGTGGTTAGCCAGTCCAAGCATATAGGCCGGCGTTCCGTCTGGCTTGAACAATCCGTAATTTCTCTCCGAGGTCGGTCCAGGTTTCATATTTTCATTGAACAGAGCAAACACAAAAATGTTTAAATCCGAGTTCGGTCTCATCGGCGTTCCCTTCTTCTGAGTAATCAACTTCAGCAGATTACCATTGTACTTCTTCGCGTTCTCGAGAGTTGCTCCGGCCTCGTCTTCGTCTCCTTTTGAAGGCCAACCTGTCTCGGAGATTTGCACGCACAGTTTCTTAAACCCCAACGAAGCAAGAGCATAGTAAACGGCATCGATCTGAGCAAACAACATGTTGTCGTAGTGAAGATTCGAAAGAGGATCCACAATGCCAGTGTTGGGCTGAAATAGAACGAAATCGATGGGGATTTGCTTGCAATTTGCCTTGTATGCGAAGTAGGGATAGGCATTGATGAGAATTGGTGAGCCGGTTTTAACATGGAAATTCAAGAGCTGAGTGATACAGGAGGCGAGATCTGATCGGAAAGCTCCGGCGGAAGGGGGATAGGAAGACTGGAGTACGGCCAAGGAATGCGCAGTAGTGACACTGACTTGCTGGTGGAGATTGAGAGTGACTAGGGCAGTGTGAACATTTTGCATCGCGGGAAGGAGGTTGTCGGAGAGGGAGGTGTCGTTCAATGTCAACACTTCGTTTCCGACTGCAATGCAAGTGATTCTTGTGGCAGGTAAATATGATTGAACGTTAGTTTTTACCCATGCTTGAGCTTGGTCTGGATCTCTAATTTTGGACAAGTATTCATTTCCGAGTCCGACAATGAATTCGACTCCGGTGTTGGCGAATGCCTTTAGAACTCGTGGATCTGCGTCGTAGAGTTTGACTTTGGTTGCGCCCAGAGATTTAACGAGCGGAACAACATTTTCCGGAGAAGGAAGATTGTTAGCTATCTGGCCGTAGTTGATTCCGATTGAAGCCACCATTATTGGAAATAGAAGAGGCACAAACCCTTTTGAACGAATACAGTACAGTAAATCATGAATTAGTAAATAATTGAAAGATCTATCTAGGAAATAATTTTTTTTTTAAAATAAATTGAAAATCAAAGACTGCTAGCGATGTACTACTACTAGTCTACTAGTACCTGAGATAAGAAGGGGCAGTGAAAAGGAGTGGAGTGTGGTAGTCGAGCCCATTGAAGGAAGGGTTGGCAAGCCTTTGGGTGGAGAGTGGAGACGCAACGTTCGGAATGTGGGTGGGTGGAAGCAGAGTACAATGGGAATCAAAAGTGGCAGTGGGAGAGCATGGGAGAGAGAAGTTTATATAAGAATGGCGTCACCGATACATAGGTGTCGCTGCTGTTGGACTGGGAGTGCTGATCCCTGAAACAAGTGTTCGGCCAGGTTTTGGGGCTCACTCCAGGTGGGGAAGAGGAAGGAGGCGACTAGGTTTATGCGCCGCCCCTCTATATATTGACGTCACTACCACCTAACCATAATTTTTAAAAAAAAATTATTAATTTTAAATTTTTTTTTTTTTGAACAAAGAAAGAGAAAATATTACGTAAAAAAAATTTAAATTACAATCAGACAAAAGAAAAGTCATAAACTCAAGAGGGGGAGTCTAACCAATCCAATGGGAAAGAATTAGTTAGCTTATAAGCTGCCACCTAATGAACTGCCTTAATACAATCTCATGGCTTGTATAAAAAGCGAAAGTTATGTAACCTTGCAAAAAATCTAATATCATCCAGTATGACCCTAATCTCCCATGGAGGAGCATCTTCCATAGCACTAATTTAATGATAGACAAACAATCATTAATATCAGTAACATTATACATCAAAAGAGCATCAGCAAGAATGCAAGCCTGACGGACAGCTTCAGCTTCGAATAACAAAGAAGATCCGACAGAAAATGACTTAGTTGCATCAAAAATCAATTCCCCACCTTTAGTACACACCACCACCCCATAAGCAGCAGTCCCAAAAGAGCAGTTGAAAGCCCCATTGCAACAAACGAGGATATCAGAACCAAGAGAAGGGGGAGGCACCTCAGTAACCACCAGATCATTAGACCTCACTTTCCCAGAAAATGACTTGGCTGCATTAAAAATCAATTCTCCACCTTCAGTACACACCACCACCCCATAAGCAACAGTCCCAAAAAAGGAGTTGAAAACCCCATTGCAACAAAACGAGGATATCAAAACCAAGGGAGGGGGGAGGCACCTCAGCAACCACCAGATCATTAGACCTCACTTTCCCAATAGCAAACCCACAAAGCTGGTCTCTCCACAGGCATTGAGCACCCAAAAGTGAGGCAAAAGCATTGACCTCCTCATCGCAAAACACATTTTGGTTCTTGGCTTTCCAAATGACTCAACCCACCGTTGCCAATTTCCCCAAAAACACCAATCTACTTGCGGCATTCTCCACCAGCTCCAATTTATTGATAATAATGATATGTCTAATTATATAATCTTAATAAAAAGTTTTAAAATTATAATTAAAATATTTTTGTTGAAATATCTCAAATGCCATATTAATAATTGATGGGACACTTGTGGAAGAGCATTAAATCGACGACACATGTCTTCGATGCATAGGTACATCCCTGCCTCTGGTAAGGCCACACGTCCTTGACATCGAGACCTATGCTCTGATTGACAAGTTCCTCTACGCCAAGGCGTGTGCCCTCGGCTCTAAGGATATCTCTGGGAGGAAAGTGTCAAGTGTCATTGGCCCTTAAGGGAACTCACAAACCCCGATCCAACCACGAGTCTTCGACTTCTGTATAGGCTATTGATTGACAACTGAATAGCTTAAACTAGGCTAAGAATTATGAAGGCACTCTGCATTATGAAGTCAGAATCGTAGGACAAATTAGACACTCAACGAGGGGAAGTCAGACGTGTGGCATAGAGTGTAGGATGAAGGGTGAAAATACAAAACTACCCCTACTAACATACGGTTGTTTCAGACAAACATTTAATGAATCCTTATATGATGGGACATCCAAAGTGGCTTGAGAAGTCAAGGATAAGGGGCATTAAATGCCTTGGGCTCCTAGCATTTAAAGTCTCTACATCGAAGAAAGAGCATTAACTGCTCGGGGGCCCAAACAATTAATACTGAGACATTCCCTACGTAAAATAGGAGGCACACTGTCCCATCTCTGAAAGCTATCTACTACTTAAACTACCAGTAATGATGAGTTTTTGAAAATATAAATAATCCTCAAAAATACATTGTAAGAGTACGCAAAATCACTTCTGAAGAATCATACAGTGTTTTCTTCTTTCCTTCTCTCAAATAACTAACTTGATCATCGGAGTGGATACGCCGAAAAACACTCCGACGCCTTTCTAACTTGTTTCTTTATGTGCCAGGAGCATCTTGCGACCCACCGGAGTTAGTTGGACCCCCCCTNATAGAAGAGGCACAAACCCTTTTGAACGAATACAGTACAGTAAATCATGAATTAGTAAATAATTGAAAGATCTATCTAGGAAATAATTTTTTTTTTAAAATAAATTGAAAATCAAAGACTGCTAGCGATGTACTACTACTAGTCTACTAGTACCTGAGATAAGAAGGGGCAGTGAAAAGGAGTGGAGTGTGGTAGTCGAGCCCATTGAAGGAAGGGTTGGCAAGCCTTTGGGTGGAGAGTGGAGACGCAACGTTCGGAATGTGGGTGGGTGGAAGCAGAGTACAATGGGAATCAAAAGTGGCAGTGGGAGAGCATGGGAGAGAGAAGTTTATATAAGAATGGCGTCACCGATACATAGGTGTCGCTGCTGTTGGACTGGGAGTGCTGATCCCTGAAACAAGTGTTCGGCCAGGTTTTGGGGCTCACTCCAGGTGGGGAAGAGGAAGGAGGCGACTAGGTTTATGCGCCGCCCCTCTATATATTGAAGTCACTACCACCTAACCATAATTTTTAAAAAAAAATTATTAATTTTAAATTTTTTTTTTTTTGAACAAAGAAAGAGAAAATATTACGTAAAAAAAATTTAAATTACAATCAGACAAAAGAAAAGTCATAAACTCAAGAGGGGGAGTCTAACCAATCCAATGGGAAAGAATTAGTTAGCTTATAAGCTGCCACCTAATGAACTGCCTTAATACAATCTCATGGCTTGTATAAAAAGCGAAAGTTATGTAACCTTGCAAAAAATCTAATATCATCCAGTATGACCCTAATCTCCCATGGAGGAGCATCTTCCATAGCACTAATTTAATGATAGACAAACAATCATTCATATCAGTAACATTATACATCAAAAGAGCATCAGCAAGAATGCAAGCCTGACGGACAGCTTCAGCTTCGGATAACAAAGAAGATCCGACAGAAAATGACTTGGTTGCATCAAAAATCAATTCCCCACCTTCAGTACACACCACCACCCCATAAGCAGCAGTCCCAAAAGAGCAGTTGAAAGCCCCAGTGCAACAAACGAGGATATCAGAACCAAGGGAAGGGGGAGGCACCTCGGTAACCACCAGATCATTAGACCTCATTTTCCCAGAAAATGACTTGGCTGCATTAAAAATCAATTCTCCACCTTCAGTACACACCACCACCCCATAAGCAACAGTCCCAAAAAAGGAGTTGAAAACCCCATTGCAACAAAACGAGGATATCAAAACCAAGGGAGGGGGGAGGCACCTCAGCAACCACCAGATCATTAGACCTCACTTTCCCAATAGCAAACCCACAAAGCTGGTCTCTCCACAGGCATTGAGCACCCAAAAGTGAGGCAAAAGCATTGACCTCCTCATCGCAAAACACATTTTGGTTCTTGGCTTTCCAAATGACTCAACCCACCGTTGCCAATTTCCCCAAAAACACCAATCTACTTGCGGCATTCTCCACCAGCTCCAATTTATTGATAATAATGATATGTCTAATTATATAATCTTAATAAAAAGTTTTAAAATTATAATTAAAATATTTTTGTTGAAATATCTCAAATGCCATATTAATAATTGATGGGACACTTGTGGAAGAGCATTAAATCGACGACACATGTCTTCGATGCATAGGTACATCCCTGCCTCTGGTAAGGCCACACGTCCTTGACATCGAGACCTATGCTCTGATTGACAAGTTCCTCTACGCCAAGGCGTGTGCCCTCGGCTCTAAGGATATCTCTGGGAGGAAAGTGTCAAGTGTCATTGGCCCTTAAGGGAACTCACAAACCCCGATCCAACCACGAGTCTTCGACTTCTGTATAGGCTATTGATTGACAACTGAATAGCTTAAACTAGGCTAAGAATTATGAAGGCACTCTGCATTATGAAGTCAGAATCGTAGGACAAATTAGACACTCAACGAGGGGAAGTCAGACGTGTGGCATAGAGTGTAGGATGAAGGGTGAAAATACAAAACTACCCTTACTAACATACAGTTGTTTCAGACAAACATTTAATGAATCCTTATATGATGGGACATCCAAAGTGGCTTGAGAAGTCAAGGATAAGGGGCATTAAATGCCTTGGGCTCCTAGCATTTAAAGTCTCTACATCGAAGAAAGAGCATTAACTGCTCGGGGGCCCAAACAATTAATACTGAGACATTCCCTACGTAAAATAGGAGGCACACTGTCCCATATCTGAAAGCTATCTACTACTTAAACTACCAGTAATGATGAGTCTTTGAAAATATAAATAATCCTCAAAAATACATTGTAAGGGTACGCAAAATCACTTCTGAAGAATCATACAGTGTTTTCTTCTTTCCTTCTCTCAAATAACTAACTTGATCATCAGAGTGGATACGCCGAAAAACACTCTGACGCCTTTCTAACTTGTTTCTTTATGTGCCAGGAGCATCTTGCGACCCACCGGAGTTAGTTGGACCCCCCTTAGAACAATTCATCATCACTCCTTAAACCCTTTTTGGCTCTCTCAACTCATTTCTTACTGCAGGATTCGCCACATCCACGATCGAGTTCACTACGAGAGAGATCTGTTCACCTTTCATCCATTATGCGAAAATCATCCTGTACAATAATATTATTTTTTTCAATCTTAAACATTGTTGTTCGGCTGACTAGGGCCTTTTTAAAATTTTTTTTTTCCATTCAATGGTCAAGAGTGTTCAGATCAATTTACGTACACATCTATTAATCTCTTTTTTAGTCTGTTCAAAGGCAAGTCATGCACGCCGAAACTAGAGTATTCGTGAGTGATAAAATATTCCTTGTTTGACCTTAAAAAATTATCAAAATTCGAATTCAGGATATCTATATTTACAACTTTTGTATATATAAGTGCCTAGTCCAGCAATTTTTATTTTTACATATTTTCATGCCTTATCCTAAATTAGATGTCATATGTTAAAAATGTGTTGGTGCCTGGTATACACTAAAAATGAGTTGGTGGGATTTTTTTCTTAGTTCAATGGTAAGAAATTTGTGTGAGTCAACTGACACGCACGTCAACTAATCTGTTCTTTAATTTAATCAAAAGNTTTTTTTTTTTTTGAACAAAGAAGGAGAAAATATTACGTAAAAAAAATTTAAATTACAATCAGACAAAAGAAAAGTCATAAACTCAAGAGGGGGGAGTCTAACAAATCCAATGAAAAAGAATTAGTTAGCTTATAAGCTGCCACCTAATGAACTGCCTTAATACAATCTCATGACTTGTATAAAAAACGAAAGTTATGTAACCTTGTAAAAAATCTAATATCATCCAGTATGACCCTAATCTCCCATGGAGGAGCATCTTTCATAGCACTTAATTTAATGATAGACAAACAATCATTAATATCAGTAACATTATACATCAAAAGAGCATCAGCAAGAATGCAAGCCTGACGGACAGCTTCAGCTTCGAATAACAAAGAAGATCCGACAGAAAATGACTTAGTTGCATCAAAAATCAATTCCCCACCTTCAGTACACACCACCACCCCATAAGCAGCAGTCCCAAAAGAGCAGTTGAAAGCCCCAGTGCAACAAACGAGGATATCAGAACCAAGGGAAGGGGGAGGCACCTCGGTAACCACCAGATCATTAGACCTCATTTTCCCAGAAAATGACTTGGCTGCATTAAAAATCAATTCTCCACCTTCAGTACACACCACCACCCCATAAGCAACAGTCCCAAAAAAGGAGTTGAAAACCCCATTGCAACAAAACGAGGATATCAAAACCAAGGGAGGGGGGAGGCACCTCAGCAACCACCAGATCATTAGACCTCACTTTCCCAATAGCAAACCCACAAAGCTGGTCTCTCCACAGGCATTGAGCACCCAAAAGTGAGGCAAAAGCATTGACCTCCTCATCGCAAAACACATTTTGGTTCTTGGCTTTCCAAATGACTCAACCCACCGTTGCCAATTTCCCCAAAAACACCAATCTACTTGCGGCATTCTCCACCAGCTCCAATTTATTGATAATAATGATATGTCTAATTATATAATCTTAATAAAAAGTTTTAAAATTATAATTAAAATATTTTTGTTGAAATATCTCAAATGCCATATTAATAATTGATGGGACACTTGTGGAAGAGCATTAAATCGACGACACATGTCTTCGATGCATAGGTACATCCCTGCCTCTGGTAAGGCCACACGTCCTTGACATCGAGACCTATGCTCTGATTGACAAGTTCCTCTACGCCAAGGCGTGTGCCCTCGGCTCTAAGGATATCTCTGGGAGGAAAGTGTCAAGTGTCATTGGCCCTTAAGGGAACTCACAAACCCCGATCCAACCACGAGTCTTCGACTTCTGTATAGGCTATTGATTGACAACTGAATAGCTTAAACTAGGCTAAGAATTATGAAGGCACTCTGCATTATGAAGTCAGAATCGTAGGACAAATTAGACACTCAACGAGGGGAAGTCAGACGTGTGGCATAGAGTGTAGGATGAAGGGTGAAAATACAAAACTACCCCTACTAACATACGGTTGTTTCAGACAAACATTTAATGAATCCTTATATGATGGGACATCCAAAGTGGCTTGAGAAGTCAAGGATAAGGGGCATTAAATGCCTTGGGCTCCTAGCATTTAAAGTCTCTACATCGAAGAAAGAGCATTAACTGCTCGGGGGCCCAAACAATTAATACTGAGACATTCCCTACGTAAAATAGGAGGCACACTGTCCCATATCTGAAAGCTATCTACTACTTAAACTACCAGTAATGATGAGTTTTTGAAAATATAAATAATCCTCAAAAATACATTGTAAGGGTACGCAAAATCACTTCTGAAGAATCATACAGTGTTTTCTTCTTTCCTTCTCTCAAATAACTAACTTGATCATCAGAGTGGATACGCCGAAAAACACTCTGACGCCTTTCTAACTTGTTTCTTTATGTGCCAGGAGCATCTTGCGACCCACCGGAGTTAGTTGGACCCCCCTTAGAACAATTCATCATCACTCCTTAAACCCTTTTTGGCTCTCTCAACTCATTTCTTACTGCAGGATTCGCCACATCCACGATCGAGTTCACTACGAGAGAGATCTGTTCACCTTTCATCCATTATGCGAAAATCATCCTGTACAATAATATTATTTTTTCAATCTTAAACATTGTTGTTCGGCTGACTAGGGCCTTTTTAAAAAAAAAATTTTTCCATTCAATGGTCAAGAGTGTTCAGATCAGTTTACGTACACATTTATTAATCTCTTTTTTAGTCTGTTCAAAGGCAAGTCATGCACGCCAAAACTAGAGTATTCGTGAGTGATAAAGTACTCCTTGTTTGACCTTAAAAAATTATCAAAATTCGAATTCAAGATATCTATATTTACAACTTTTGTATATATAAGTGACTAGTCCAGCAATTTTTATTTTTACATATTTTCATGCTTTATCCTAAATTAGATGTCATATGTTAAAAATGTGTTGGTGCCTGGTATACACTAAAAATGAGTGGGTGGGATTTTTTTCTTAGTTCAATGGTAAGAAATTTGTGTGAGTCAACTGACACACACGTCAACTAATCTGTTCTTTAATTTAATCAAAGGNGTTTATATAAGAATGGCGTCACCGATACATAGGTGTCGCTGCTGTTGGACTGGGAGTGCTGATCCCTGAAACAAGTGTTCGGCCAGGTTTTGGGGCTCACTCCAGGTGGGGAAGAGGAAGGAGGCGACTAGGTTTATGCGCCGCCCCTCTATATATTGACGTCACTACCACCTAACCATAATTTTTAAAAAAAAATTATTAATTTTAAATTTTTTTTTTTTTGAACAAAGAAAGAGAAAATATTACGTAAAAAAAATTTAAATTACAATCAGACAAAAGAAAAGTCATAAACTCAAGAGGGGGAGTCTAACCAATCCAATGGGAAAGAATTAGTTAGCTTATAAGCTGCCACCTAATGAACTGCCTTAATACAATCTCATGGCTTGTATAAAAAGCGAAAGTTATGTAACCTTGCAAAAAATCTAATATCATCCAGTATGACCCTAATCTCCCATGGAGGAGCATCTTCCATAGCACTAATTTAATGATAGACAAACAATCATTAATATCAGTAACATTATACATCAAAAGAGCATCAGCAAGAATGCAAGCCTGACGGACAGCTTCAGCTTCGAATAACAAAGAAGATCCGACAGAAAATGACTTAGTTGCATCAAAAATCAATTCCCCACCTTTAGTACACACCACCACCCCATAAGCAGCAGTCCCAAAAGAGCAGTTGAAAGCCCCATTGCAACAAACGAGGATATCAGAACCAAGAGAAGGGGGAGGCACCTCAGTAACCACCAGATCATTAGACCTCACTTTCCCAGAAAATGACTTGGCTGCATCAAAAATCAATTCTCCACCTTCAGTACACACCACCACCCCATAAGCAACAGTCCCAAAAAAGGAGTTGAAAACCCCATCGCAACAAAACGAGGATATCAGAACCAAGGGAGGGGGGAGGCACCTCAGCAACCACCAGATCATTAGACCTCACTTTCCCAATAGCAAACCCACAAAGCTGGTCTCTCCACAGGCATTGAGCACCCAAAAGTGAGGCAAAAGCATTGACCTCCTCATCGCAAAACACATTTTGGTTCTTGGCTTTCCAAATGACTCAACCCACCGTTGCCAATTTCCCCAAAAACACCAATCTACTTGCGGCATTCTCCACCAGCTCCAATTTATTGATAATAATGATATGTCTAATTATATAATCTTAATAAAAAGTTTTAAAATTATAATTAAAATATTTTTGTTGAAATATCTCAAATGCCATATTAATAATTGATGGGACACTTGTGGAAGAGCATTAAATCGACGACACGTGTCTTTGATGCATAGGTACATCCCTGCCTCTGGTAAGGCCACACGTCCTTGACATCGAGACCTATGCTCTGATTGACAAGTTCCTCTACGCCAAGGCGTGTGCCCTCGGCTCTAAGGATATCTCTGGGAGGAAAGTGTCAAGTGTCATTGGCCCTTAAGGGAACTCACAAACCCCGATCCAACCACGAGTCTTCGACTTCTGTATAGGCTATTGATTGACAACTGAATAGCTTAAACTAGGCTAAGAATTATGAAGGCACTCTGCATTATGAAGTCAGAATCGTAGGACAAATTAGACACTCAACGAGGGGAAGTCAGACGTGTGGCATAGAGTGTAGGATGAAGGGTGAAAATACAAAACTACCCCTACTAACATACGGTTGTTTCAGACAAACATTTAATGAATCCTTATATGATGGGACATCCAAAGTGGCTTGAGAAGTCAAGGATAAGGGGCATTAAATGCCTTGGGCTCCTAGCATTTAAAGTCTCTACATCGAAGAAAGAGCATTAACTGCTCGGGGGCCCAAACAATTAATACTGAGACATTCCCTACGTAAAATAGGAGGCACACTGTCCCATATCTGAAAGCTATCTACTACTTAAACTACCAGTAATGATGAGTCTTTGAAAATATAAATAATCCTCAAAAATACATTGTAAGGGTACGCAAAATCACTTCTGAAGAATCATACAGTGTTTTCTTCTTTCCTTCTCTCAAATAACTAACTTGATCATCAGAGTGGATACGCCGAAAAACACTCTGACGCCTTTCTAACTTGTTTCTTTATGTGCCAGGAGCATCTTGCGACCCACCGGAGTTAGTTGGACCCCCCTTAGAACAATTCATCATCACTCCTTAAACCCTTTTTGGCTCTCTCAACTCATTTCTTACTGCAGGATTCGCCACATCCACGATCGAGTTCACTACGAGAGAGATCTGTTCACCTTTCATCCATTATGCGAAAATCATCCTGTACAATAATATTATTTTTTTCAATCTTAAACATTGTTGTTCGGCTGACTAGGGCCTTTTTAAAATTTTTTTTTTCCATTCAATGGTCAAGAGTGTTCAGATCAATTTACGTACACATCTATTAATCTCTTTTTTAGTCTGTTCAAAGGCAAGTCATGCACGCCGAAACTAGAGTATTCGTGAGTGATAAAATATTCCTTGTTTGACCTTAAAAAATTATCAAAATTCGAATTCAGGATATCTATATTTACAACTTTTGTATATATAAGTGACTAGTCCAGCAATTTTTATTTTTACATATTTTCATGCCTTATCCTAAATTAGATGTCATATGTTAAAAATGTGTTGGTGCCTGGTATACACTAAAAATGAGTTGGTGGGATTTTTTTCTTAGTTCAATGGTAAGAAATTTGTGTGAGTCAACTGACACGCACGTCAACTAATCTGTTCTTTAATTTAATCAAAAGTAGATCGTTCACGCTAAAAATAGAATACTCATTAAATATGAGATAAATCTCTCATAATCTAATCCCAAGAAATTATCAATATTCAAATTCAAGACGTCTAAATTTACGGTTCGTCCCTGTCACTACTTAAACTACCTTAAAATTAGTTGCAGGGAATTAATTTTACTTTACTGTAGAATGATAATCCGATTGGCCTCTTATATAAAGATGAGCAAAATAAGTAAACTAGATTGTGAGAAACCAAATTAAGGATCCTTGGTGTAGCATTCATTGTGTCGACATTTGAGAACCAAGAAGCTGTGTATAGCTTAAATTAAGTAGCCTATCTATTTGTGCACCCAAAATGTGAAAATCTGGGAAGTGGGAGCCCGGGGTATTGATGGAATGGAATTTGATAACAAGGTGTACAATTTAGGAATGCAGCTGGAGAAAGAAACACTACACTCTTAACAAGAAATTTTCTATGAATATGATTATTATACACTTTACATTGATGCTTAGAGAGACCAAAAAAAACCCACACTCCTCTGGACCTTAAGTGATAAATTGTTTGTGCATATGTTAGTTAGCTGTATTATGGATGCACACCTCCGGTCCACCGGGTCAGGTCAGCCTTCAACATCACCCCATGCAAACAGTTTTTCCTACNGATGCACACCTCCGGTCCACCGGGTCAGGTCAGCCTTCAACATCACCCCATGCAAACAGTTTTTCCCACATGCACTCCACTCCACTTGACACGCTATATATATATTAACTATACTAAACGGACCAAAAGTTCCATGCTGATAATATCACAGCCCTCATGGTGTGGCAACATTTTCCTTTGCAAGTGGGGCGATCTCGTCCCCTTCAATTCCAGGTTCACTGCCGGAAACGCCTAAGCNAACCAAGGGAGGGGGGAGGCACCTCAGCAACCACCAGATCATTAGACCTCACTTTCCCAATAGCAAACCCACAAAGCTGGTCTCTCCACAGGCATTGAGCACCCAAAAGTGAGGCAAAAGCATTGACCTCCTCATCGCAAAACACATTTTGGTTCTTGGCTTTCCAAATGACTCAACCCACCGTTGCCAATTTCCCCAAAAACACCAATCTACTTGCGGCATTCTCCACCAGCTCCAATTTATTGATAATAATGATATGTCTAATTATATAATCTTAATAAAAAGTTTTAAAATTATAATTAAAATATTTTTGTTGAAATATCTCAAATGCCATATTAATAATTGATGGGACACTTGTGGAAGAGCATTAAATCGACGACACATGTCTTCGATGCATAGGTACATCCCTGCCTCTGGTAAGGCCACACGTCCTTGACATCGAGACCTATGCTCTGATTGACAAGTTCCTCTACGCCAAGGCGTGTGCCCTCGGCTCTAAGGATATCTCTGGGAGGAAAGTGTCAAGTGTCATTGGCCCTTAAGGGAACTCACAAACCCCGATCCAACCACGAGTCTTCGACTTCTGTATAGGCTATTGATTGACAACTGAATAGCTTAAACTAGGCTAAGAATTATGAAGGCACTCTGCATTATGAAGTCAGAATCGTAGGACAAATTAGACACTCAACGAGGGGAAGTCAGACGTGTGGCATAGAGTGTAGGATGAAGGGTGAAAATACAAAACTACCCTTACTAACATACAGTTGTTTCAGACAAACATTTAATGAATCCTTATATGATGGGACATCCAAAGTGGCTTGAGAAGTCAAGGATAAGGGGCATTAAATGCCTTGGGCTCCTAGCATTTAAAGTCTCTACATCGAAGAAAGAGCATTAACTGCTCGGGGGCCCAAACAATTAATACTGAGACATTCCCTACGTAAAATAGGAGGCACACTGTCCCATATCTGAAAGCTATCTACTACTTAAACTACCAGTAATGATGAGTTTTTGAAAATATAAATAATCCTCAAAAATACATTGTAAGGGTACGCAAAATCACTTCTGAAGAATCATACAGTGTTTTCTTCTTTCCTTCTCTCAAATAACTAACTTGATCATCAGAGTGGATACGCCGAAAAACACTCTGACGCCTTTCTAACTTGTTTCTTTATGTGCCAGGAGCATCTTGCGACCCACCGGAGTTAGTTGGACCCCCCTTAGAACAATTCATCATCACTCCTTAAACCCTTTTTGGCTCTCTCAACTCATTTCTTACTGCAGGATTCGCCACATCCACGATCGAGTTCACTACGAGAGAGATCTGTTCACCTTTCATCCATTATGCGAAAATCATCCTGTACAATAATATTATTTTTTTCAATCTTAAACATTGTTGTTCGGCTGACTAGGGCCTTTTTAAAATTTTTTTTTTCCATTCAATGGTCAAGAGTGTTCAGATCAATTTACGTACACATCTATTAATCTCTTTTTTAGTCTGTTCAAAGGCAAGTCATGCACGCCGAAACTAGAGTATTCGTGAGTGATAAAATATTCCTTGTTTGACCTTAAAAAATTATCAAAATTCGAATTCAGGATATCTATATTTACAACTTTTGTATATATAAGTGACTAGTCCAGCAATTTTTATTTTTACATATTTTCATGCCTTATCCTAAATTAGATGTCATATGTTAAAAATGTGTTGGTGCCTGGTATACACTAAAAATGAGTTGGTGGGATTTTTTTCTTAGTTCAATGGTAAGAAATTTGTGTGAGTCAACTGACACGCACGTCAACTAATCTGTTCTTTAATTTAATCAAAAGTAGATCGTTCACGCTAAAAATAGAATACTCATTAAATATGAGATAAATCTCTCATAATCTAATCCCAAGAAATTATCAATATTCAAATTCAAGACGTCTAAATTTACGGTTCGTCCCTGTCACTACTTAAACTACCTTAAAATTAGTTGCAGGGAATTAATTTTACTTTACTGTAGAATGATAATCCGATTGGCCTCTTATATAAAGATGAGCAAAATAAGTAAACTAGATTGTGAGAAACCAAATTAAGGATCCTTGGTGTAGCATTCATTGTGTCGACATTTGAGAACCAAGAAGCTGTGTATAGCTTAAATTAAGTAGCCTATCTATTTGTGCACCCAAAATGTGAAAATCTGGGAAGTGGGAGCCCGGGGGATTGATGGAATGGAATTTGATAACAAGGTGTACAATTTAGGAATGCAGCTGGAGAAAGAAACACTACACTCTTAACAAGAAATTTTCTATGAATATGATTATTATACACTTTACATTGATGCTTAGAGAGACCAAAAAAAACCCACACTCCTCTGGACCTTAAGTGATAAATTGTTTGTGCATATGTTAGTTAGCTGTATTATGGATGCACACCTCCGGTCCACCGGGTCAGGTCAGCCTTCAACATCACCCCATGCAAACAGTTTTTCCCACATGCACTCCACTCCACTTGACACGCTATATATATATTAACTATACTAAACGGACCAAAAGTTCCATGCTGATAATATCACAGCCCTCATGGTGTGGCAACATTTTCCTTTGCAAGTGGGGCGATCTCGTCCCCTTCAATTCCAGGTTCACTGCCGGAAACGCCTAAGCTCAGTAGTATCAGTTCCCAATTCTTGGCAGGGCCCTGAAAGTCATACAGGTATTATTGATGACTGATTTATATAAATATTATTCTCATTGGGAATTACGCAAAGATTATTAAGTGTTGGGGGTTCAATTTTATGTCTACCTTCCATGAAAAGTCTTGTATCATACAATTTCTGATCATCTCTGCTAGGGCAAGGGTACCAAAGTTCGCAAGGGCTCTCGCCACAGTAGTCACAATCTTAATTACATCCGCTGGGTCAACAGTGTCACACTGATCACAAGAACNCTGATCATCTCTGCTAGGGCAAGGGTACCAAAGTTCGCAAGGGCTCTCGCCACAGTTGTCACAATCTTAATTACATCCGCTGGGTCAACAGTGTCACACTGATCACAAGAGCACAATAAATTATTGTTTGGAAATAGAATAAATACATAAAGAAGTAAAAATTTAGTGGGACAGTCGTATCATGGGGGCAGGGATAGTGAAATCCTTACTTCAACACTGAAAGCATCCATATGGAATCCTGTATAACCATCTTTGACAGTGTCGGCCAATCCACCAGTCAAGGGACAGATACACGGCTGTTCCAATAGAGAAGTCAATTTCGTTCACATAATCAAAGAAAAATTCATCCAGTATAAGAGCAGCAGTTAATCTGGAAAAACAACAACGCATGGAGATTACCGTTCCATATCGCATAGCGTGCAACTGAATGAGACCACAAGGTTCAAATCTACTTGGTATCAACATGAAATCAGCTGAAGCAATTATCTTGTGGGCCAAGGGAACATTGAATTTTGCTATACCCCTAGCCTTCTCAGGGTACAATATCTCGAGCTGTTCAATCTGCTCCTCAAAATTCTTTTTGCCAGTTCCCTGTTTATCAAAGGTATATATCACCACTACGAATCAGTTTTTTTGAGTTTTGTTATTGAAAAAGCCCATATGATGCATACCAGGATTACTATCTGAACATTCATATTGATGAATTTTGGAATGGCAGCTACTAGAATATCTGAACCTTTCTGCTCTTCTAGTCTACCAATGAAACCAATCAGAGGAATATTCCTGTCCACAGGCAACCCAACTTCTGCTTGAAGAGCTTCCTTCAAGAGAGGTTTTGCTTCCATAACCTGCATGTCAGGATTCCCATTAGCAGACGCTTCAGTCCCAGAAACTAGAAGAAACCACTAGGAAGAAGAACATGGACAAAGATCCACGAGTCTCTTACAGTTGTGATGTCAAAGTTGACATCAATGTACTTATCCATTGCTGGATTCCACTCCTGGGTATCCATGCCATTCACAATGCCAGTGCAGCCAGTCTTACGAATGATGGTATCCAATTCCACACCTTTTTCAACACTAGAAACAAGTTCTTGGGCATAATAGGGGCTCACGGTTAAAACCCTATCTGATTCCAATATTCCAGCTTTCATCCAGTTAATTTTCCTTCCCTTGACAGGCTTTTCATACCTGCAACATCGACAGACTTACTTCACATGACAGCAAAGACAGTCGCGCAAAATCCATACCAATTACAAAATCACATCAGCAGCCAAAAGTGTCCTTAATAAAAATTCAATTGTTTAATCACTCGTACCCGTCAATAAAATCAAAAGAGCTCTTAAATTGGTCAGGCAGATTCAGAAGTGCGAAGTCTGAGAAGGCAAATCTGCCCTGGTACGCAATGTTGTGTATGCAGAAAACGACCTGTCATCATTCATAAAGGTCAATCATAGATCCCAAGAACGACCCTTCTTTGTTTGGCAAGAGTTCTAAAGCAAGTACTACCTTGGCGGTTGTGTACATTCCCCTGGATTGATAGATACTTTTTAGGTAGCATGGAAGGGGAGCAGTGTGCCAATCATTGGCAACGAAGACAACATCCTCACCTGCACAAATGCAGAAAATCAGCTAAATTTTATAAATTTATAGTACTGCAACTGAAAGCTAAAAACTGAGACAGGGGTGTATACCATATGGTCCAGAGAAATATTTATTGCTGTTTAAGTTCAAAACTCTAGGTGCCTCTAGAGCTGCCTGAAAGCAACAGAAAAGAATTTGAACTTTAGCAGTGCTACAGAACTGTGACCATCATTAATTGAAAGTGTGAAATGAATAGACACCGTGAGCACCGAAGCAGCTTTAGGACATAAAGATGACGTATTGTGGATGGTCTCCAATTTAAGACTGCTATATAAGATATACGTATTTATCTAAAAACATCACTCGCTTAAAATAAACAAACATGTGAACAACTTGCTTCCATGTTTGACAACCAACCTAGCAACTTCACGGAGACAATTTGTTCCAATGGTCTGTTGAAAAGTAGCTGCTTTAAAAGATTAAGCTTTTAGAGAGGGTGTAATATAAGTACTTATCTAATACTCCCTCTTATGTGTGGCCTCTCTTGGGTGGTCTGTTCATGTGATTTTTTTTTTTCTGTGTATAGTAAAGAAGGAGGTCTGGTGTAATTTGACTTCAGGATCTCTAGATTCTCATACCATGTTGAACCACCATCTCATCTAAAAGCTAAACAATTCTTTGCACATAGCACAGGCAAGCAACACTGATAAGATTCCTATCCCAACGATTTCCCTGCTGTTGACCTGCGTATGCCCTAAGATATAAGTTTGACCAACCGACCAAACCAAATTGCTCGTAAAAAATTAGCATGTGGCCACACATCTCTATCCATGCCCAATTTTATTCCATGTTTTAGAAAGTAATCATAATCCTTTTCCTTTCCATACAATGCTAACAGATGTAAATCATACATGAAAGTAGAGAACAACAATAAACTTACTAGGCACAACAAGCTAAATCGAAGTTGGTTGTCCTGGTAATCGTTTCCTGCCTTAGGGCCATAGACCTTTGCTCCAGTTTTTCCCCAAACCTACAAAAGTTTGAAGTGCAAGCATCAGAATAACGATCAAGTTGGCCATAAAATGTCGTTCAGGGAACATTACACTTAAGCTTCTAAAACGGAGCATTGAAATTTCAGAAAAATCTTAAACCTTCTCCAGGAATATTGGATGATCAACAAAAACACGATCAACTCCACGTTTATAGCAGTGGAAGAAGCGAACAGTCTCAATTGTGTCTCCAACTCTTATCTGTGATAGAAAAGCTTCACTTTAGTGAACAAAATCCCCAACACTACTCCCTTAATCTCACCACAAGAAAAGAGGAAATTACCAAACCACTATAATTAAAGAAAGAGTTTACCTCCACAATCACACAAGTATCCCAAGCATCCTTGTACTGGTCATAGCGTGGTGACACCGTCATAACCCGATGCCCATTAGCCTAGATATTGACAGGCATAGAGACTAGTTAAACAGGAGTCGTCCTAAGCAGAATACATATTCATCCAAAAATGTCAAGCAGAGACTTATGCTTACTGCCATGGCTGGTGGTAGCCCACCAAGAACATCTCCAAGCCCACCAGTTTTGCTCCATGGGCCCACCTCGGCTGCCACAAAAATTATGTTCATCCCAATTCCACATATGATAGTTCCCGAAGGCCTGTTACTCTGAGTTTTGACCTCTTTTCTCCGGGCTTGCCTGGCTTTCGTTTTCTTTTCAAGCATGTCCAGCATGCTTAAAGATCTCAAGCCATTGTGAGCCACAGTATGGTTCCTTAGGGCTATTTGAGCCAAGTTTGTTTTATTTTCTGATCCCAAAGTTGCTCCACTGGATACATGTGAGCTTCTTGATACAAAGTGTGAAGCAGTCACGGTAGCCATCGATAGTGTCCTTGGTGTTGTAAAACCAATATGCAAAAGAAGTTAATAAAATTTCACACTCAGCAGATGCAACAATCAAAAACTTGCTCCAAAAGAATGGAATGAGAGGGAAATACTTTTAACACTAGCAACAGAGAAAAATACCATCAGAGAAAAATATCACCATACTAACAGAAGTTAGTTAGTTAGTTTGTATTTGGTCATCAATTAGATATAAAATGGTTAAGAGACAACACAGCCATAGATGAGATGAAAAACATAACATACCATTCCATACCAAGATGGCATTTCAGAAAACAACTTATTATAATCACTGTTTCCTTCGATCAAGTTTTTTTTGAGTCAAAGAATTTGATTAATCTAGAAGTTTGTTATTGCAGAGAAATTAGGGATCCGTCGAGAAAATCACTGAGAGTTAGCTACAATTATGAATAGTCGACTGGAGAGAGAGAGAGAGAGAGAGAGAGAGAGAGAGATGTACTTACTGGAAGATAGATAGATTGGAGGGATGTGAGTGAGCAGGGTACTGATTGATGGCAGTTGTGAGCTGCAGTGGAGACGGAGTGGAGAAACTCTGGGTGGGTTGTGGAGAGTGAATGAGCCTTCGATTTGTAGTGCGTGCCAGGGGATGCCTACAAAAAACACGTGGCACCAGAAGAATAGCTGGGGATTCATATCACTTACCTTAAGCACCTAAAAATCTGTTTCACGGCCACCTGCTCTCACACGGNGAGCAGGGTACTGATTGATGGCAGTTGTGAGCTGCAGTGGAGACGGAGTGGAGAAACTCTGGGTGGGTTGTGGAGAGTGAATGAGCCTTCGATTTGTAGTGCGTGCCAGGGGATGCCTACAAAAAACACGTGGCACCAGAAGAATAGCTGGGGATTCGTATCACTTACCTTAAGCACCTAAAAATCTGTTTCACGGCCACCTGCTCTCACGCAGGGGAGGGGGAATAGTGGGGCCCATGGCATCACTGGAAATATACTAGAGATTTGCGGTGTCCGATGGAAGAGACCCCTCCTTAGTCCTTCCAGTTCCTAGCATTGTTGACGTTGAGATAGAGAGAGGTTGGGGTCCAGCAGTAAGCAAAGGAAACGACGTTCAAGTGTTTCATCTACTGGTCTAGATTCACCGCTGTATTGCTAGTGGATCCTTGTGTGTGGGACCCTCCCTTTATAGAATGCCAAAAGTCCGGCTATGCTAACCTTTCACAATAATTGGACTAATAATTCAACAATTCTATGTCCGATTTTGTTAACGAAGAGTTAGGCACCATGCAATGTACCGCTACCAACACTTACTACCATTTAACTTGTTGAGAGATTATTATTTATATAAGGGCGAATGAATATACAAATGTTTGAAACTTTTATATGTTTTAGTCTTCAAATGATCAACCCATTCATAATCAATATATATCAAAAAGAATACCTTTTGTTTTTTTCTCTATTTGTTGTGTAATTCTTAGTTATTGCACAATTCTACACTTTGGAATGAGATAGGATGTTTCCAACGTTTGCTTATCACACTCGTGTAGTTGAAACAAGGAAAAAAAAGTCATTTTCAAAATGCGTACAATATAAATCAAAAAATTAAGAGTACAAACGAATTGAATTCATAACTTGATNTGTGTGTGGGACCCTCCCTTTATAGAATGCCAAAAGTCCGGCTATGCTAACCTTTCACAATAATTGGACTAATAATTCAACAATTCTATGTCCGATTTTGTTAACGAAGAGTTAGGCACCATGCAATGTACCGTACAACAATTATTTACCAACACTTACTACCATTTCACTTGTTGAGAGATTATTATTTATATAAGGGCGAATGAATATACAAATGTTTGGAACTTTTATCACTTACATGTTTTAGTCTTCAAATGATCAACCCATTCATAATCAATATATATCAAAAAGAATACCTTTTGTTTTTTTCTCTATTCGCTGTGTAATTCTTAGTTATTGCATAATTCTACACTTTGGAATGAGATAGGTTGTTTCCAACGTTTGCTTATCACACGCGTGTAATTGAAACAAGGAAAAAAAAGTCATTTTCAGAATACGTACAATATAAATCAAAAAATTAAGAGTACAAACGAATTGAATTCATAACTTGATTGTTCGAACTTAACTCATTCATTCAATAAGTGTGTTTGAGATCGGCTTGCAATCATCATTAGCTACAGGCATTTTATTTTGGTCCAACACCAGTTAATTTCTTTCCAAACAATTATTTTCGGGCTTGAATTCTAATTAAGTTTGGCTCGGTCAGACATATTGGTTCATTTGCACCCGGAAGAAAATATATCCACGTGACTTTTTTTACAAGCCTTTCATTTCATTTCTTCAAATTGGTTGCTGCTGCTGCTGCATCACAGAAGAAATATCAATTCTCAAGAAGCATTTGAAGACATTCCAGAGGTGGAGACTTGTCCACCAAAAATGGCGTGGAGTGCTGTCTCTCAAGAGATCAATTGTCCTGGGGGTGGGAGGACCCCATTTCATCGCCATTTACCTGATGGCAATGCATTGTAAGTTTCCTCTTGTATTAAGCTTGTCCCTGTCTGTGGCACATGAACCCACCCACCCCACCCGGCCCCTATCAGAATGTGAGGTTGACAGTGGCATGTAGATGTGGGCCGAGGGAAGAAGATGGTAAAACCTTGGCTCCTCAATTTTTTGACCTTGGAAATTAAGAGTAACGATCCTCTGTAATCATATACTTGAAATGGTGAATATATATATATATGTGTGTGTGTGCGCGCGCATCGGGTTTTGCTATTGCCGGCCAGTGATCTACCCAAGACTGTAACTAACATGGCATGCCATGATGTAAGACTCACTGACGAGCAAGCAGAAGCAGCAATCCATCCTATTACAAGACCAACCAAGTCCTATTCATATCTTACTTTCAAATGCTCTCAGACTCGGTGTAATCTTTCACAATATCTATATCTATTTATTCTATTGTAGGCTAATCAAAAAATTTCTAGAACGAAAGTACTTGTGTATTTTATTAGGAATTAGAATCTCATAAAGATTGTATCATTATGTTAATGGCATATACGAAATTATAAACATGTGAAACATATAATTTTTCTGTTTGGGTGAATAAATGAATTTGTTGATACATAAAACAAGAGGTTTTTTTGGAGGTCCGCACCTAGGTCCAATAGGATTTCAAAAAAAATTCACTTGTCATTTTACTTTTAAATTAGATTTCTGTTGAAAAGTCAAAACAATACATATAACTAACGTTTTTTAAAATTGCAAAAATAACGATAGCATTATGTAATTGAAATACCTTTTCTAAAAAAGTTATATTAGACTTGAAAATTAGACTTGATAATCTCAACCATTGATTTCACTGTAAGTCCCGGCATCTATTGAGACCTATTATCTATTCAATGGTTGAGATTATCAAGTCTAATTTTGAAGTCTACTTTTTAAGTTTATGTAGCATTACTCCATTACTCTTACCNATAATTTTTCTGTTTGGGTGAATAAATGAATTTGTTGATACATAAAACAAGAGGTTTTTTTGGAGGTCCGCACCTAGGTCCAATAGGATTTCAAAAAAAATTCACTTGTCATTTTACTTTTAAATTAGATTTATGTTGAAAAGTCAAAACAATAGATATAACTAATTTAGTCATACTGAATATTACGTAATTGAAATACCTATTCTAAAAAAGTTATATTAGACTTAAAAATTAGACTTGATAATCTCAACCATTGATTTCACTGTAGGTCCCGGCATCTATTGAGACCTATTATCTATTCAATGGTTGAGATTACCAAGTCTAATTTTGAAGTCTACTTTTTAAGTTCATGTAGCATTACTCCATTACTCTTATCATAATATATCTTATTCTCCACAAACACAGATCGTCAGATAAGTACAGTAAAAAAAATGACTTGTTCTTGTTTAATGTACCCATTAACCGGTGGTTCACAGGTACACTAAGATACATTTATTAATAGTGGATGAATCGAGTATATCTCTGTAACATATACATTGAGATGAAACGTCTACACTGACGTCTCTTCGATTAACTGACACTATAATGAACATAAATTTAAATATCTTTATCTACCCCCATGGAAATATCTCTATAAATAGCGTATCAAAAAATTAGAACAAAAACACAAAAAAATGGATCAGTCAAGGGAGTAAAGAACATAGAGTAACATACAAATGCTTAAAGGTTTAATTGAGAAGAATATACACATATGCCATTACAGGTACACAAGTACATAAATTNGACGATAGTAAAAGTACCTTTATTACTATCCCATAAAAAAATTTAATCTTTTTTTTCCTCACACATTCTCCCCGACCAAACACAACAAATTTGGGATTCACAGAAANGTACACAAGTACATAAATTGGTAAATAAAATTTTATCACAAAAGTTACATATCCATCCTCAGCAAAACTAAAAATCGAATATGAATTGCTCACAAACATTCATGATTATACACACACAAAAAATGTATTAACAAACACAATAGGTACGCAATTAATATATACATGTTTATATAGGTACACAACATATCATATATGTCAAATAACATATACGATCATTCAGTTACATTATACGAATATGTACATCAATATTTAATTAAGAATAAGATACATATACACCATTACAGGTACACAAGTACATATACATGTTTACATAGGTACACAACATATCATATATGTCGAAGAACATACACAATCATTCAGGTACATTATAAGAATATATACATCAATGAGATAGGTACATTAGTATTTAATTGAGAAGAATGTACATATACGTNGAAAATGTGAGGAAGGAGATATAAAGAATGATATATAATATAAAAGAGAAATGAGAAAGAAATTAAAAGAAAGAGGAGTCTTGAAAAAATATGCATGATCCACTAAAGGTCAAAAATAGGNCGTCAGATAAGTACAGTAAAAAAAATGACTTGTTCTTGTTTAATGTACCCATTAACAGGTGGTTCACAGGTACACTAAGATACATTTATTAATAGTGGATGAATCGAGTATATCTCTGGAACATATACATTGAGATGAAACGTCTACACTAACGTCTCTTCAATTAACTGACACTATAATAAACATAAATTTAAATATCTTCATCTACCCCCATGGAAATATCTCTATAAATAGCGTATCAAAAAATTAGAACAAAAACACAAAAAAATGGATCAGTCAAGGGAGTAAAGAACATAGAGTAACATACAAATGCTTAAAGGTTTAATTGAGAAGAATATACACATATGTCATTACAAGTACACAAGTACATAAACTGGTAAATAAAATTTTATCACAAAAGTTACATATCCATCCTCAGCAAAACTAAAAATCGAATATGAATTGCTCACAAACATTCATGATTATACACACACAAAAAATGTATTAACAAACACAATAGGTACGCAATTAATATATACATGTTTATATAGGTACACAACATATCATATATGTCAAATAACATATACGATCATTCAGTTACATTATACGAATATGTACATCAATATTTAATTAAGAATAAGATACATATACACCATTACAGGTACACAAGTACATATACATGTTTACATAGATACACAACATATCATATATGTC